GTGCACTTATGTACCTTGCAAATAGTACGAGGCCAGATATTGCTTTCTCGGTAAATCTATTGGTAAGATACAGCGCTGCTCTTACCAAACGCCATTGGACTGGAGTTAAGAATGTCTTTCGATATCTTAATGGCACAAGAGATCTTGGACTTTTCTTTAAAAAGAACCAGGATTCAACTTTAATTGGGTATACTGATGCTGGCTATCTATCTGATCCCCACAACGCCAGATCACAAACAGAATTCGTATTTTTACAAGGTGGAACTACTATTTCATGGAAGTCTTCTAAACAGACTCTAGTAGCCACTTCCACAAATTATTCTGAAATAATTGCATTATATGAGGCATCACGTGAATGTGTATGGCTTCGCAGAATGGTTAACCACATATAACTTCTTGTGGTATTGGTTCATTGGAATCACCTACCATTATCTATGAAAATAATGCCGCTTGTGTTGTTCAGATGGAAACTGGTTATATTAAGAGCAACATCACTAAGCATATTGCTCCCAAATTATTTTATCCTCATGAGCTTTAGCAACATGGAGAGATAAACATCTTGCAAACTAAGTCATGTGATAATCTTGCTGATTTATTCACAAAATCTCTACCATACTCCGCATTCTTTAAATGTGTCGAAGGAATTGGTATGAGACGACTTAAAAATTTGCAGGATTCAGGGGGAGTATCTTCCTTTGGAAAATAACCTATTTTCGTCATATTATACTCTTTTTCCTTTGTATGAGTTTTACCCTTTAGGTTTTCTCATCCAAAGTTTTTAACGAGGTAATATCAACATAAGCTTATATGTCTTATCATTTGGCTTTTCGCCACTGTGTTTTTACTAAATGATAACTGTAGACACTATACTATTTTGGATCATACTATGAGCTTTACTCATAGAGATCTAAAAATAGTCAATAATATATCATGGTTCTCTCCTTATTTTTCCCACTGGGTTTTTGAGGAGTTTTACGTGATGTATTTAACTATAATTATTTCTAAGATTATCTTTACAGATATCTGAACACTAAATGAGCAATGATCAAAGCTGGATTCGATCAAGGGGGAGTGTTCTGAAATATTTGGGTGATCTCATCCATATATATGGATAGTGTAACAACCAACTCAGGGACACGACGGTTGGTCATGCCCCACACCTCTTCTCGCCTCACGGCGATTCTAGCAACAGACGTGATGGTTCCCAAACCATCGCGCCTCCGGTTGCTGCCTCTCTCCCCCATATATATTGTAACACTGTTATCAATAAAGGATCCACTCATTCATTCCCTACATTCTTGTGTTTAAATTCTCTCTCTCAATCTCTCTCGCTCAATCAATTCTATCCACATTCAACACGTTATCAGCACTTTCGCTCTCGCGAAGGAGATCGCGAAGTGAAAGAAGGAAACATCGCTTTTGATTTCAAGAAAAGCGAAAGAAACAGAAGAAACTAAGGAAATCGCCTAAGTACGTCTACCTTGATTTCATCCTCGATGCCGTTCTCGGCCTCCATCGCTGAGACCGCTTTCATCACCTTCTTCACCTCCTCCCTCGATTCGATGGAGTCACCACCATCGCCATGTCGGGCGCCATTCTAGGGTTGGTGGCCACCGCCACCATCCTCGGCGCCGCATTTGCCGTCGCTGACGCACCTCCGACTCCACCACCACAAGCGCACACCACGAGTGCACCGGCGCCCCGCCGCGTCCAGGTCCAGGCTCCATGGATGGACTGTGGTGGTGACGCCCGCCGGCGAGTAGTGCTCCCTCCCACCGGAGATGCAGTCGCCGCCGGCACCGTTCCCCGTTCGCCGCTCGGCCTCCCCACTACTTTCCGCGCCATTCCTCATGGCTCCCCGAGCTACACGCTTCCGAACGGTGTGGGGGAGGGGGGGGACGGCGTCCGAACCCGATCGGCCTCTTACTCCGATGAGGAGAGGGAGCCGTCGGCTTAGTCTCGCCGGCGGACGATGGGGACTTCGGCTGCTATGGCGGTGGGGACGGCAGAAATGGAGGCGCTGGCGGTGGTGTAATAGGGGGAGATGGTGGCGGCGAAAATGGAATCGGCGGTGGATGAGGGAGGCGGCGGCGAAAGTGGTGAAGGAGGAGGCGCCGAAATGGACGGCGGCGGCAGACGAGGTGGAGGAGGCAGCGCCGTCTCGGTGGCGTCATGTGCGGCGGCGGCGGCTCAAACCGCGGGGCGGTTAGGGTTACCCTAACCCCCCCACGCCCCCCTTCGCCCTTTTCCCCATGGGCCTGATGGGCCGGCTGCACTGTAGTGGTGGTGGGCCAAATCCTATTGATTTTGGCCCACCACCCATTTACCCCTTTATTTTAGTTTTTAATTTTATTTTAGCAGCAATTTTATATTAGTCCCTGAATTTTTATGTAATTTAGTGAAAACAGTTCATTAGTTCTACAAATTATGTAATGGTCCTATAGATTAGTGCTCTTGCTAATATTGTAAATTTCAGAGAAGGAGATTTTCCCACTTCAATTCGCTGATTCAGCTGCGAAGCTGCATTTGGTGGTCGTGGCTTATATCTCTATAATCCTTCCGCACCATTGAAGTTTCCCATGTAAAAAAACCGGTTCCCTATAAAACCCACCCCACCCAAAAAGAAAATCAGTGTTTTCACACAAAAAATCAAGACAACAAACCGGATAGAAAAGATTAAACCGTATAATTCTAATTCTGTTGCAACGTACGGACATGACATTAGTTTTCTGAGAGCGAGAATATACAGTATAGTTGGTAGCGACTAGGTCGAGCACAATAGAGTCGAGGGAGGTAATGGGGAGAGGCTTTATTCCTGTGTATTCCTCTTATGGGTACCATGTGGCATGTGGGTATATTAATTGATCCACAATATGGAAGTTCAGAAAAGGCAGACCAAAGTAAAATCAAAGGGATACGATGAGATAAGTGGCAAATTAAATGTACATACTGCTCAATTATCTTCTAAATTTATAATTGCAGTTAACTTTGTGGTAAAACAGAGTTGAGCCCTTGCAATTATATAGCCAAGGAGTAATTTTCCGAAATAATCAACGGAACAAAAGTCAAACTGTTATGAAATATTTGGGTGATCTCATCTATATATATGGATAGAGTAACAACCAACTCAGGGACACAACGGTTGGTCGTGCCCCACACATGTTCTCGCCTCACGGCGATTCTAGCAACGGTCGCGCCTCCAGTTGTCGCCTCTCTCCCCCTGTATATTGTAACACTGTTATCAATAAAGGATCCGCTCATTCATTCCCTACATTCTTGTGTTAAATTCTCTCTCAATCTCTCTCGTTCAATCAATTCTATCCACATTCAACACGTTATCAGCACTTTCGCGATACATTCTTGTGTTAAATTCTCTCTCTCAATCTCTCTCGTTCAATCAATTCTATCCACATTCAACACGTTATTAGCACTTTCGCTCTCGCGAAGGAGATCACGAAGTGAAAGAAGGAAACATCGCTTTTGATTTCAAGAAAAGCGAAAGAAACAGAAGAAACTAAGGAAATCGCGTAAGTACGTCTACCTTGATTTCATCCTCGATGCCGTTCTCGGCCTCCATCGCCGAGACCGCATTCATCGCCTTCGCCACCTCCTCCGTCGATTCGATGGAGTCACCACCATCGCCATGCCGGGCGCCATTCTAGGGTTGGTGGCCACCGCCACCATCCCCGGCGCCGCATTTGCCGTCGCTGCCGCACCTCCGACTCCACCACCACAAGCGCCCGCCACGAGTGCACCGGCGCCCCGCTGCGTCCAGGTCCAAGCTCCATGGATGGACTACGGTGACGCCCACCGGCGAGCAGTGCTCCCTCCCACTGGAGATGGAGTCGCCGCCGGCACCGTTTCCCGTTCGCCGCTCGGCCTCCCCGCTACTTTCCGCACCGTTCATGTGGCTCCCCGAGCTGCACGCTCCCGAACGGAGTGGGGGGGAGGGGGGGACAGCGTCCGAACCCGACTGGCCTCTTACTCCGATGAGGAGAGGGGGCCGTCGGCTTAGTCTCGCCGGCGGACGACGGGGACTTCGGCTGCTGTGGCGGTGGGGGCGGCAGAAATGGAGGCGCCGGCGGTGGTGTAATAGGGGGAGATGGTGGCGGCGAAAATGGAATTGGCGGTGGATTAGGGAGGCGGCGGCAAAAGTGGTGAAGGAGGAGGCGCCGAAATAGACGGCGGCGGCAGACGAGGTGGAGGAGGCAGCGCTGTCTTGGTGGCGTCATGTGCGGCGGCGGCGGCTCAAACTGCTGGGCGGTTAGGGTAACCCTAACCCCCCCCCCACGCCCCCCTTTGCCCTTTTCCCCATGGGCTTGATGGGCCGGCTGCACTGTAGTGGTGGTGGGCCAAATCCTATTGATTTCGGCACCACCCATTTACCCCTTTATTTTAGTTTTTAATTTTATTTTAGCAGCAATTTTATATTAGTCCCTGTATTTTTATGTAATTTAGTGAAAACAGTTCATTAGTTCTACAAATTTTGTAATGGTCCTATAGGTTAGTCCTCTTGCTAATATTGTAAATTTCAGAGAAGGGGATTTTCCCACTTCGATTCGCTGATTCAGCTGCGAAGCTGCATTTGGTGGTCGTGGCTTATATCTCTATAATCTTTCCCCACCATTGAAGTTTCCCATGTAAAAAAACCGGTTCCCTAGGAAACCCACTCCACCCAAAAGGAAAATCAGTGTTTTCACACAAAAAATCAAGACAACAAACCGGATAGAAAAGATTAAACCGTATAATTCTAATTCTGTTGCAACGTACGGACATGACATTAGTTTTCTGAGAGCGAGAATATACAGTATAGTTGGTAGCGACTAGGTCGAGCACAATAGAGTCGAGGGAGGTAATGGGGAGAGGCTTTATTCCTGTGTATTCCTCTTATGGGTACCATGTGGCATGTGGGTATATTAATTGATCCACAATATGGAAGTTCAGAAAAGGCAGACCAAAGTAAAATCAAAGGGATACGATGAGATAAGTGGCAAATTAAATGTACATACTGCTCAATTATCTGCTAAATTTATAATTGCAGTTAACTTTGTGGTAAAACAGAGTTGAGCCCTTGCAATTATATAGCCAAGGAGTAATTTTCCGAAATAATCAACAGAACAAAAGTCAAATCACGCATTAGAATTTCAACTGAGGGAGTAGGAGTATAATACAGAGCAGAACAGGTAACAACACGATCTACGCGTTTAATTAGTTCCCGATGACAGTGCCTGCCTCACCGTGATAGATAAAACGGGTATGATGGATCTGCGGTGGACCATGCGGATTATCTGCAACGATGGTGTCAAAAAGAAAATATTAGCAGCAATCCAAGGGCGGGGAAACAAAAACACTGCGGGCAGTAGCTCTAGACTCTATTGGCTGGCAAAGCTAAATCTGTTGAAAATCGTTTTGCTAATATATAAAGATGATACTCACGGACTCCTGGGCTGCCTTGCTGAGCCGAGAGCATGGGGAGGCCGCTGCCTATCAGAAGAGCCACCAAAACAAGTCGAATCAGAAGAAGACGGAAGCTGCTCAGAGTGGGCGACATGCTTGTTCAGCAGGCAGCTGGCCTGCTTTGTGATCGAGCTCACGAACAAACGATACAACCTGTCTGTTTTACCGTGCGTGCCGGGAAGCCACTGATGTCAAATAACGCCAGACAAGAAGAGTCAAGATGTGCGAGGATTTTTCAACTGGTTGAACTCTTCAGCGCTTTGCTCTCCTATGGAATAGCAGTACTTATCAAACGTGGAATGGCTCTTTTACTCCCGATTTGCAACCTTTTAGCCCCGGGTGCAAACCGGGACACCCAATCCGGGACTAAAGATTATCGTCACCCTCAAATCCCCACAAATCATCCACAATTGCCCATCCAAAAAATCATCCGCAATCCACAAGTAATTCACAAAATTATCCCCAAATCTAAAATAATCTACAACAAAATTTACAAATCATTCCAAAAATAAAAAAAATTCACAAAACACGCCGCTGCCGTCCGCCCGGCCGTGCGCCGCCTCCCGGACGCCTCCGCCGCCCTGCCTCCCCTCCCGCCATTTCCAGCGGAGGAGAGGCCGCCAGCCGTCCGCTGCCTCCCATCTCGCCATCTCTGCCGCTTCGGTGGCCGCGGCCCTGCCACCGCTGGAGGGGAGGCCGCCGCCCGCCTGCCGCCAGGCCGCCGCTCGCTGTCGCCGTCGCCGTTAGTGAAGGGGGGAGGGGGAGTTGAGGTGAAGGGGAAGGGGAGGAAGGGGAGGAGTGTTGTGTGTGTGTGTTGGGGGGGGGGGGGGGGGGGGGGAGTAGGTGCAGGAGAGAAAATGGGAGGGTAGGAGGAGGAGAAGAGGAGGGGATAAGGACAAGGCAGCGCCCGTGACTCGGGGTAGGGATTTTCACGATTTTTTTTATTTTGATCCCGGTTGGTATAAATAACCAGGATTAAAGATGCATCGTTAGTCCCGGTTGGTAAAATAGGGTCTAACATGTTTTTAACTGGAACTACAAATGATATTTAGTTCCGGTTGGTAACGATAAAAAAAGTACCCGTGGGTTTTCAAACCGGGACTAAAGATATTTTTAGTCACGGTTCTTACTCAAACCAGGACTAATGTGATTTTTGCGTGACCCAGCAAATTTCATTTATCCAGTAGTATACTTAGCGGGGCATGCCCTATTTTTTTACCTTATTTACCGGATTATTGAATCAATTACTTACACCACTAAAAATAAGTTCTTTGTTATTTTTTTTACGAATTAGAAAGAAAGCCCGCGCAGATGCGCGGGCAACTTATTTATAAAAGATTGTTAAAAAATCATGCTTCACCTTATAATTAGAACCACTTATTTATTATTTACAAAAATGATGCTAAAGAAATCCTATCTCACCATATTAATTAATTATAAGGACAGTATATCAGCTTATAATTAATAAAAAAATAAATATCTAGACCATAAATTTTTATATACCAAATGACAATAGTATCTTTCATATTCAAACAGAAATAACGTTGTTCCGGATATATGTAAACTTGCTTGTCACCATTATTTATTATCGTTGTATTATCAGTTATGATGGAATTACATCCATACAAGAAAACAAACTTAATATGTCAGTAATACAAGAAAAGATCATCTCTACTTAATACTAAATTGTTCATGTCTCACTTGTTTTTAAATATATGTATAAATATTTTGAAGTATTGCTCCTACCAATTCATGGGATAAAACCATTAAAATTATATATAAATGCCCCTCTAATAGTTGAAGCCGAGTGTAGCCACCTAGGCTTTCTTCTCTTATGCCTTGAAATATGTGTCCTTAATCTACATAGTTGTGCTCCTCAAAATCAGCGTGCAGCACAATTTTAACGCCTAATTCATTATCAGCTAAAGAATAGCATCAGAAAGAAGGTTAGTTGAACTTTATTTGCAAATAGTAGCCTCTCACTACGGTCACCTTTACTTAGTCATATGCATGCCCCCTCCCCCCCCCCCAAATTCGTACAGTAGCAGAGCATACTATGTTATCCATGCTTGGCGCCCTTCGTGGAATGATAATTAGATAAGATGGAAGTGATAATTTTTTTAAAGTTTTGAATCCATTTATGGAATAGAGTTGACACTTGTCTATGGCGTTAATTGGTCCATTAAATTTTAGCAGTACAAATATAATTTTCTCCCTGAAAATAAGTAGAGTTGATCTCGAGAAGTAATTATTCACGAACATATGAGGTAACTAGGTGAAACCCCACACATTGCTGTGGGAGTTCAGTATGATAACAATAAATAAAAATAATATGTAAGATAGCTGAACAATATAAACTTACATAAGCACTAAAATCAATTGACGTGATATGGCTCAAATAGAGAAGAGAGAGATAACATTAACTAAGTGAGGATGAACTTATGTATGTACATAAGATATTATAAAACATAATGAAGATATATATTGAAATATTATGTGAATTATGTGGGATAATAATTTAACATGCTTTCATTTTAAAAGCTCTAAAATGTAAGAAATTTTAAATTATAGATAATATAACAAGTTTGCATAATATTAAATGTATTGATTGCTAGTGGATGATGATGTGTCAACTTGTTAGTGGATAATGATGTGGCATCTTTGCATGCTAAGCTTTAAAAGTTAGTGGGTTATAACTTTATAGTAACTAGATGATACCCCGTGTGTTGCCGCGGGATATTATATACCGATATGTGTTTGAAAGAAAGATCCATGCAAAAATTCCAGATAACATAACAACAGCATGCAGCATAGATGTACCCACTTTCGAAGCGATGGGTTCAGGTCCTTACAGAGATAGGAGCTTATTCAAGCATGATGATTATATCAACCAAAAGCTCAGGATACAACTTATATAAACCAAAAGTTAGGTTCTAAATATATAAATGGAGCAATGGGAAGAACAAAGCTGGAAAATACTTCGATACAGTTAATAGGCCTATGATGAAACGAAGCTAGCTTATTGCCCAGTCACCAATCCGTAATTTATAGATGTATCCAGATAATCGGCACATCTAAAAGCAACAAACATGAGTAACCTAAGATACATACAAATTAGGGGGAAAAAGTTCCGCCTATTGACTGGCCTAATGCTAATTCCCATATGAAAAAATGGGATTCATGAATTATTGACTGATTTGTCCATAAAATAAAATTAGGGGACTGATTATGAAGTTTCCTCAGTACATAAGAAGGAAAATAAACATGATAAATGAATTCATCATATTAACTTTGGGTTAACAAATAATAACTTAATTGTGACGGTTATCAGAGGAAGATGTATAGACAGAAAATGGGAACCTGCTGGGCTGGCTTTCTCCGTCCCTTGCCCTGCTATGGCAGCGGCGATCCCCATTCCATTGATGTGCTGATGATGGTGACGGCTCGCTTCTGTGGCGCGCGCGCTGCTCGTTGGTGGGCGTGGAGAAAGAATCACCGGGGGGTGGAGGCGAAGCGGCAGGACTGTGCGCTGGGGGTGGGGCAACCTGGGGTGCCGCCGTGTGTGTGTGGGTGAGGGGGGGGGGCGGGTTGGGGTGGGGTGGGGTTTTGGAGAAGCGGCGCGGTTGGCGGTAGAGTGCGCGAGGGATGGGGAACCGAGCGCGGCGAGGCGAGGATGGCAGGCTCGCGGCTGGCTCGCGCTGGGGATGGGAGGAGGAGCGAGCGCGGCGGCCGGAGGGAGGGCCCGCACTGCCACGGGCGATGGAGGAGAGGGCCCACGTCTTGGCGCGCGCGGGGGTGGTAGGTGGAAGCAGCGCGCGATGTGGGAGAGGAAGCAAGCGCACCCGGCGGCGGCGGCATATTCGATCGGTGGCGGAGGGAGGCAAAAGGACGTGCATGTGTGTGTGATGGAGTACGATTGGACCATTCACGAGGTTTGATCGAATGACTGAAAATAAAAGAAGTGACGTGGCTTAACCACAGCTCAGGAAAATTCCTAATAACTACACTAAGTGGGGATCAATTATATAGTATTATAGGATATAGGATTGGATAGGATATGAGTTTTGATATTTTTGTTTTTTTATTATTGATCTAATTCATCTATGCATGTTCGTGGGGGTAATATATGATGGAACAATATATGTTATCAAGTTTATTTTATTTGTGCCGATTGTTAAGACTATTTATTAACAAGGGTTAATTGGATCCATGCCATTACAAATTTGCCTATTCAGAAAAATGTCATTACAATTCGTCTATTTGTAGCCATGCCACTAAAATTTTATAAAATTAGAACCGGGCCGTTGCCGTCACGTTTCCATCCTTCTTTTTCCATCTTCTTCCTTCTCTCTTCCATCTTCTCTCTGCATCTTATATCTTCTCTCTCCATCTCTCTGTCGTCATGCCTCCAGCGCACCTCGCCGTGGAGGACGAGAACCACGTAGCCATCGGTGGAACGGTGGCAGCAGCAAGAGGTACGGCGACGACGGAGGCGTCAAGCGGGCCATCTCCCGTAGTGAGGCAAGCTCGGAGGAGGAGAGAGAGCTTACTAGCGACCCAACCATGCTGGCGGCGTCGCAATGCAGCTTCGCACTCTCCTCTCCCTCCTCTTCCCGATCCCCAAATCCCCTGTCTCCTCCTCCTCCCCCTCCTCCACCGCCGCATGGATCCAACCGCTGGCCTCAGGGGCGACCTCCTCCACAGCGGCGACCATCCTCCTCCGCCACCGCGCTCCTCCCTTTGGCCTGCCTCCCGCACCCTCGGCCTCCCCGGCGGTGATGGCTTTGTCCTCTTCTCCATGGACGGCGCCATCGCCGCCACCGTCCTCCGCCACCTTGACACCGCTACCAAGCTCTGGGCTGCCTCCTGCGTCGGTGAGGATCGAAGGCGACGGCACCATGTGCGGCGGTGAGGAGGGAATGAAGGAAGAAGACGGAAAATGCAGGGGATGGATGGAAAACGTGATGGCAGTGGCACGGTTTTAATTTTGGAAAATTTCAATGGCACGATTAAGAATAGACGAATTGTAATGACATTTTTCGGAATAGGCAAATTTGCAATGGTATGGATCCAATTAACCCTTGAAATATTTTGGATTTTATTGATCTTAAGTTATCAGTTTAATTCTAAATTAAATTACCATTTAACTCGCCATGCTTAGTTAAATTTCTAGCTATAAAATAGGGTGTAGAGAGAAAAGGAGGACACATATATGGGCTGCACGTACATATATAACCTTCTTTGTACATGGTACGTGACTACGTACAAAGGGAAGAGATGTTACGTGTGGGAGGAGGGAGGTGGAGGTGGAAAGATTTTTTAGATAAATCTGTTGGCTTGAAATAATGGGACCAACTATTTTAATGAAAACGGATGGACAGATGTTTTGGTTTTTTTTTAGAATTTCTTAGGAATTTTTGTTATTTATTAGAATGCGATGTAGCGAGTTAGGAACGTTGGTAGGATGCCACCTGGCGGTTTGAGAACGTTCGTAGAAAGTTTAATTGACTTTTAGTATATAATAGATATTTAATTTATCACTAGAAAATCTATAACTATAATCCACTCAACAATTTAAATCAGACTGGGCCTTGGTTTGTTTTGTTTTTATTCCCAGACTAATCTACCCTAGTCACTGACCCGTATATAAATTTTGGGTACATTTTTAAATGAGATAGCTTAAGTAATTTTAGTATTTTTTGATGTGGTTCCCATCTCTCACGGCCTGGCCTGGAGAAAGCACGAGCAAGGTGCTCGATATAAGGTTGGCCGGTCACTGCGACGACAAGGAACAAAGCTAACCCAAATTA